TCAATGTTTAATGCCTCGTGTCAAAATAATGTTAACAAAATTGAGTCACGAGTTCTTACTATTTCTCAACAAGAAGAAAAGAGCCATTGATTGTTTATTATTCAACAATTACTGTTTTACATTCAGATTCAAATATCAGTGGATATGAAGGAACTATACAAGAACAAATAATGAAATGAGAAGAACAGTTAATAAAATACACAAGGTACAATCTGTAAACAGTGCCATTTTCAACAGATTTATGAAAGTAATAAAGTTCTGCGAGAAATGTGATCTGTTAATGTTTCTAATTTCTATGGATAATTCTGCATTTCTGATGTAACGGAGGTTGAAACACTAATATTTATTCCTCCATATTAAATCTATTGAAGTTTAAATGTTCAAACATCTGCAGTTATTGACATAGAAAAACAAAACTGGTAACATATTAGTATTGTAATATAATTAATGACTGTCTTAAAACTAATTGTATTTCTACAAAACTTGTTCGTTTTAATTTATTAATGTACAATGAATAATGTTAATAGCAAATTAAAAAGCACACAGCTTCATTTTGAAGTTGAAAGAAGATAAGAAAAAGAAATGAAATATTATAATGGAACTTATTTTTTACGTTTGGAATAATGAACTGACGAAACTGCTATTTTTAATTTGCAATTGACATCATTCACTACCTTAATACTTTAAGCAAGTATTGGTATAGTAATTAAAGATCAATCAAATGATGTGTAATTCTCTTGTCAAGTTCTGTTGGTAATTAAATCGATTTCCGCTGCTTTAGGTATGCAGGATTATGTGGAAATACGCCCGTTAAAATATTTTAATATTTTTGCAATATTACAACACCGTCTTCCGGCACAATAATATTTGCATATAGCCTAAAGCGCAATAATAAATAATTTGAAATATTGCGAAAAGGGGGAGGAAATATTTATTATTAAGCTTGTCGTGTATAGACGTTGTTCTCTTACAGTGCAAAGTAACACACAAATTTAGAAACATTTAACATAGATGAAGAAAACGTGCTATAATAAAGCATGCAAATTGCGATAATAAATATTTTACTGAAACTGTGTTGTACGACCGAAAAGATATTTTCTGAAACACGAATAATCCTTTCTCTTAAAGTATAGAATCGAAAAGCAACAACAAAAATATATATAACTTTTTAATATGTGAAAGCAAAGATGAATACGTCGCTCGTACAACAAACTTTTTGCAGAGTGACCACAATTTATTAAATAATATAGTGTAATACGTTTATTGTAACATTTTTATCCTATGATATTCTGAAGAAATATTACAAACTGTTGTGAAATACAGATGTAACTGCAGATATGAATTGATTTTAATCTGCTACACATTATGCAATATTATAGAACATATATACTACAATCATAATGTTACAATACTGATTACTGTAGAAAAGGTGTTGTTGTTAACTTTACAAAAATTGCACATGAAAATTCATTTCTATAAAAAAAAAAAAAAGATATCAAGGATAGGATATCATGTTTTAATAATCCTAATTGTTTGTTAATTTTTGAAGATTACAAAGAATGTTTTCTGTACAATTTTTTATAGTTTGATTTTTCTTGTGCTACTATTTGTTCAGACAATTATTTTTAATCAAAAAACAATACTTCTATATCACTGGCAAATGGTCACCCTGACAAAAAGATGTAGTAGATAATTGAAACAATGTTTGCAAGATAATAACAATAGAGTATTAAAGAAATTCATGGATATTTAAGATTGTTCTGGTTGTGGTTGCTTCTGTATATGCATTTTTATACAATGATCGTGATTCTGTATAGGCTAAACTCATATCATTGCTAATTTTCTATAAATTTAAAAATTATACATATTGAAGAGCTATCTTAATCAAGATGTGAAAAAATTTACAATGTTTAGCAGAGGCGGGCAAAAGTAAAAAGGTCCTATAGTACATTAAAAAGAAAAGATTTAAATGACGATTTTTAAAATCTGTAAGACGTTTTTAAGATCTACATGAGATCTGGCAAGTATGGCAATGAAAGATGAAAAATAATACTGTTTAAAGATTCATAAATTTATTCATAATCATAGTAAACTTATACCAATATAATTCTCATTTATTCTTCTGACTAGCAAATTTTAAAAACAATTATTTTATTTAATGAATACTTACTTTCAAAGGAATTAAAGACAAGTATATAGTGTAGAGTTTTATTAGACAACTTAAATATGTGTGTATAATATTTCTACGTGAATAATGATAAAGTATTCATTTAATTTTGAATACATATTTTAATAAAGTATCAAAAACAAATATTTAGTAATAACAAATTTTTTTATATACTAAATAAGAAAAATAAGTATTAAAAGTATTAAAAAATAATTCTAATAAAGTAGTGCCCGTTTCTGTGGAATAACCAGAAAAAATACAAAATATTGCAATATCTCAATTATGTACATTAAATCGACGTTAGTCAAAGGTGCTGCCAATAACAAAAGAAAAATACACATGCACTATTAATTAGTCGAAGTATGAAAGCAACCAGAAAAATATTATTTTAAGATGATGATTGTATAGTATTATTGTCGTATACCCAGCATCTCGTATAACAAAATGTTGATATAGTATTTCATATTATAACACAATTTTTATAAATAAACTTTTCTATTCGACTTGAGAGGTGAAACGTTAATTATGGAAATTTTTGATTTCATAATTTAATAAATAACGCAGTGAGATGTGAAACCTTTTTATTACAACGTTAATTTAAAGTTGTTTTACATGTAAATCTGATCATTCTAATTAATCTAAAAAATCTATGTCATCTTAACTGATATGAAACTTAAAAAAAATTTAATTTTCAATCAACAAATGAATGTAACACAATGGTTTTTCGTGATCGAGTCGAATGGTAAACATTATATTATATAGTTAACAATATTTGATATTTAATTATTAATTATGAAAGGGAAGAATGGTTGGTGTTGTAGATCTTACATGTATGTCGTTTACATACATAGAACATCAGGCAGTACCTTATAGTTACTAAAGAACAAAGTGTTTTGTACATTTATCGATACTTTTTATTATGCATTACAATTGCATTTATTGTGTGCAGCGGTTAATACAAAAATGTCAAATTGCTGAATCAGTTATTTATGTCTCCTGTTCTTTTCTTTCTTCTTACAATTGAATAAGAAAATTCAACGAAAGAAATATTTATACACGTGATTTTTTCATATATAATTCTGACATGTTCTATAAATAATAATAACATTTTCTTACGTAAAAATTGTACATATATTTAATGTTCTATTTTATGTCGAAATTCGAGCTGGCAATTATTGAAAATTGTTCCAATATTACCTTTTGTATGATAAAATCATTTTTTAAAATTTGAGTTTAAATTCTTAAATTGTACTACTGTGTTTCATTTATACTGAAAAATAACTGAAAGCGTTGAAAAAATTAATCTTTATAATTATTCTTTTTGTTTATATTGGCGCGATTTTATAAAATAAAATATAATTTTCACATTCCACGTGAAGATGTTTTATAAAAGTACAAAAGTAATATGGGCTTGCATTTTTGATGTTCATGTCCTGCCAAAATCGATGCAATTATTCACATTAAACGTCTGTACGATGTTCAAATAAGATTTCATATCTGGTCGCATACCGAAAGAAAGACTATACTTGAAGTGTAAACAAAATGCAGTAAGAAGTTTTCGTTGTCATTAACGATTGTAGGTGAATTCTAATGAATGTCAGTACAAATTGAATAATAAAGAAAAAAAAAATGAATGACAAAAAAAAGAAAAGAAATAAGAAGTTAATATTGACGACACGTATTTTTGGCAATACAGTTTTAAATAACATATTTAAATTAACAATATAATAGCTAGTAGTTAGAATGTTAGTAAATAAATTTTGTTCTAATATTTTCTTGATGACTGAAAGTTTATACATATATATATATATATATATAAAAATATTATGCATATATGTATATGAATAACATTGATTTTGATGAAGATATAAGGATAATAATTATCTCATGGCGTAATTTGTAGAACGAATGTTTATTATTGCTTCTTATGCTATTATTAGGTAGTGAACTATAAAGAAAAATATTGTACATCAATAAAATTGATTATTTGAAAAATAAAATATATTGATAACTTCTGTACCATGATATTAGTTAACTGATTGTTATTTCTACAATTGCTATCAAACACGTTATATAGAGAGATGTTTTATATTAAGTTGCATTGAATTTTTTAATTTATCGTTTTTTTTATTGATAAAATTTAATTTGTAGTACTTCGTTATTCAAATACATGCCTTAAAAGTTGATATTATATTTTGTATGTGTAATTAACCTTATTTTTTGATATTCAGTCATATTATTCCCGTAAACTATATGTGTACATACATATAATTATTAATTTATAAAAATCAATATTCAGACTCTGTTCATACGATGTACACATATGTATTCGTATAAATTTCTTTAGAATAATTATTGTTAAAGATTACATTGTGAAATACCAACTTTCAAAAATTGTTAATGCTAATTATCGAATGAAATTTCGTTTTAATAATAATCCGCTGTAATAATACTATTTATAACCACAATAAATAATCATTTCTTCGAGTTTCGTACAACATCGTACAACAATAAGAAATTTCATTTGACATCATTGACTTTTGAAGTAAAAAATCTACTAGATTGAATTCTATTCAAGATGAAGCATTGATGTCATTTTTTTTATGTGACAGCTTTTAAATATTTATTATACTTTTCAGAGGCGTATATTATCATAAGTATGTATGAATATATATATATATATATA